AAGTCAACCACTGTGTGAGTCCACCCAGCAGGAGCTACAGCGATATCAGCAGATTTCTCCTCTTTGTTTGGGGTTTGGAAGTTTTGGAGCTCTCTGACCCAGCTGCAGTTTGTTAGGTTAGGCTGCAAAAGCACAGGTGATTCCTTTGTGCCGCTGGGCACAGCTTGGGTGGGGATGTAAATTGAGTGGGGCGGGGTCTCAGAGAATCACCAGGGTGGAGTAAACAGCAATGGCTGTCGTCAGCCGTCTCTGCGACTCCATGTCTCAGCGTCCCCAAGTCCCGCGCCCCCACAGCAACAATGATCCCTGCAAGCAGCTCTGCGAGAAAGCCACCCTCGCTTTCCGACCCGCTGCAAGACAGTCCAGGTTCTCCCAGTAGGAGCCTGGGACCCCAGAATCTCACCGTAAATGAGTTCAGTGCTTGTATCCCCTTCTGATTGAAAAAAACCGCGCACCCAGGTGCAGCTGCCTCGCGGGCGCCTTTGTACCTCTGTTCTTGGTGCCTCTGCACCTCCTACCCGGTCTCAATGCGCTTTTTTCTTTCCTTCTAGTTGTAGAACTTCCACTCGGCCAGCTTTCCCGTAGTTCTGGATGATAGCTGCTTTGTCTTATAGTTGTAGTTTTAATGTTGTTGTGGGGGGCAGCATGTACAGGTTTATACCTTATGCCGCCATCTTGGTTCTCCTTCGGTATTCTAGTTTTATTGCTTCAGGTAAGAATGACCCAGCAGGCAACACAGCCAAATTCTTGAATTTGGGGTTCAAAAGCTTAGACCTTAGGATGACAACCTAGATTTGGAAGAATAGCTGAAAAGGTGGGCTATCTGTCCCAGAGTAGATGAAGAATTTATGGACTGAAGACAGAGGAGGCAGAGATGTTGAGAACGTGTGAATTTGTTTAGGATCCCAAATTTGAATTAAGACTTTGGAAGTTCTAGAGCAAGTGGACTTATCACTGCCTCAGCCTCTATCTCCAGGGTAATGTCTGCAGAGCTGTCTGAAGGACAGGGCTCCTATGTGTCCACCATGGTCAGGATGGGTAGGGACATGAAGCACCTACCTGCTTGGTGGGACAGTATCTGAGTTTCTAGAAACCCTGGATGGTGGGGGACACTAGAAAGTTTTTGGTAGGCTAGTGAGTGGCACCCTTGTGTCTCAGTGCCAGACTATACAAACATCTGTGTGGCAGGACCAGGAAGGCATAGCAGAGATCTGCATGGATCCATAACAGAAAACCACAGGGAATGTTTCCACAAATGCTACGAAGAAGAGACAATGACAACAAAGATGGATTCTTGGCATGGGGGAACCACATGGACCATTTAGAGCTGAAAGGACTCCTGAATGACCAAGACTAATGTTTTCCAACTGGAAAGTGAGAGCTTTGTTAAATTATGGAAATTAAGTTTAATTATGGAAAAATTACGTTGTGATTCTTATATACCAGAATTTTTGAAGCCTGATTCGTATTCACTATACATAGATGTTTATAGAGCTTTACAGTATTTGAAGAAACTTCTGTATTTTTTTCATTTTAATTCTAATAAAAATCTAAAAAGGTACTGGTATTTGTTTATGTTCTCATTTTACATATGAAGCAAGAGGGTTAAATAACTTGCCTAAGGTCACACAGTTAGGACCTGGCTTAGCAAAGATTCAAACGCATGGCCTTATTACCTCTACCACCCCTGGTTCTTAATGTTGTTCAATATACCCACTAAGGACTTTCATAAGAGCTTTCTGTCAGTCTCAAAAAATGCTGGTATTGTATCAATATGCTTTTAAATTAATGCTCAGTTGTGAGGAAGGCAAGAGAGCTGGAACTCTGCCACTTCAATCTGGGCTTCCTTCCTGTTGTATTCTCTGCATAACTCTGCTCCCAGTTCTCAGAGATGGAGAGGGAAAGTGTAATTTGAATGCAGTACAAAGGCCAAGATGAGGGTTGGTTCCTAAAGGACCTCCTAACTTGGACACTGAGTGACCCATCTAGGTGAATGGATGCTGTTCTGTTTCCACAGCCCTGTGACCACACTCAGCATGCTGTAGATTTTTCTTAATTGTATGTTGTTCTTGCCACATTATGAGCAAGTGAAGGCAGGGACTACATCAGGCTTGCTTTCCATTGCATCCCCTGTACCTAGCAAAATGCCTGGCACGTAGTAGGTACTTAAAAATACATGCTTAATGAAGGGACAATTGAAGGGACAGATAGGTAGAGAAATTTTTGGATACCTCAGTGTCCATTACACAATTCTAGCCCTGTATCCCTTAATTGCAAGTTCACTTCTGAGGGGTGCTTGGGTTCAGCTTCTTTTGTCATACCCAAGAAAGCTTTATAAAAATAGCTACTTCTCTTGCAGGCTACTTCACCTCTTCTTTCTTCTCTATCCCCAGATTTCTCCGTTATTATTATTTCTAGCCAGTCTTTTAGACAAGATGTTTGGAATATTTTTTCTTGTTCCATTTACATGTTTTAAGAACTGTTTTTTTCTACCTTATGTTTAAGGAGCACATGTTATAAATTCATATGAGCAAATACTTTCTGTTCTCTCTCATTTTGAAAAAAAAATTATAATTAAAATTCATGGTGGGAAAAATTTCTAAAGTGGCAAGTTGCCTTTCTAAGATATTACCATGTCTTATTTTAGAATTTACTTTTGGTAACTAATCTACATTATTAAATAAGATTCACTTCATTGGAGTCACTGAATAATTGCTGCTTGCTAAGTATTGTTTTGTGATATTAGTTTTACCCACATATGCCAAGTTGTTTTTAAGAAGTAGCCTCAGTATTAGTCAAAAAGAGATGGAAAATATATGTCATAAATCTAGTAAATTTGTAATTAAAATAATTTCACAAATATAGTCCATTTTTATTGGATAATTTTTTTAAAGGTTAAATGCAGTACATGATAAATAAGCTTTATCTCTTAACTGATTCTTACTTTTTTCTTAAGGCACCGCAACAGAGAAGCTTACCCCAAAGATTATGATATCGAGGCTCCTGAGAAAATTAAAAAACTGTGTGACTCAACATATCGGAGACTTGGAACTGATGAACCCCAAGTGAGTAGTTGCTGCTAATTTCTTTAAGCCTGGAATCTTACTCCTTGTGAAGAATGAAAAATAAAGGGAGGAGCCCTTTGCTGGTGCCATCCTCTTAGCTATGTTAGTTACTTAGGCACGTGATTTAATCATTGTGTGCTTCAGTGACCTTACCTTAAACACGTGTATACTTCAAAAGGTTATTGGAAAAATAAAATGAGATAAAACAAGTAAAATGCTTACCTCAGCCTGGCACAGACCAAGTGCTCCAGGAATGATTACTGTTGTTATACTTTTGCTGCACCTGAGGCATCTTGCTAGGTGTCTGCTTTGACCTTCACAGTAACCATGTGAAGTAGGTATTATCTTGATTATAGATGGGTAGGATCTCCTAGAGCAGTGATGGCGAACCTATGACACGCGTGTCAGAGGTGACACGCGAACTCATTTTTTTGGTTGATTTTTCTTTGTTAAATTGCATTTAAATATATAAAATATCAAAAATATAAGTCTTTGTTTTACTATGGTTGCAAATATCAAAAAATTTCTATATGTGACACGGCACCAGAGTTAAGTTAGGGTTTTTCAAAATGCTGACACGCCGAGCTCAAAAGGTTCGCCATCACTGTCCTAGAGGTAAAGCAACTTTCTCAAAGTCACACAATTAGGGAGTGGAAGACTTAGATTTCAGTTCTATTTGTACTTATGGTGGCGGAGTTGTGAGTAATTAAAACATGCTAATATCCTTATAATATTTGTACACCTGTTACAAAAAGAATATTCATTGCATTGCATCAGTAATTTGTATTTGAACTGCTTTTGTGGGTTATTGCTTGGCTATTTAGACGTCTACCCAATCAGTATGAGGCAGGAACTCAACTTTGCAAAGACCCCTAAATTGTGTCCTACAATGCTAAGAGCTTTGGGCAAGTTGAAGAGCCAATTCAGCCTTAATAGGATGGTCTTGGAGCCTGAAGAGCTGGTAATTTGGCATGGGCAGATGTGAATGTGTTGAAAAAACTAGGTTTATATCACATCCTGCCCTCAATGGCTGGCCTAGTTTGAAATAGGGCAGGTCCAGGAAGGAAGATCCACACTTATACATTAGAAATGGTTCTAGAAGATTCTCAGTTCTCCAGTATGATGGAAATAAATTAGCTTTGCAGAGCCCAGGCTGTTACCTCCCTTCCTCGTATAGTTCAATTGACAGAGTAATAAGGATAGTCTGAAAAATGGGGACTTATTATAAAGATACAACTGCTGGATATGGAACCAAGAAATTTAAAAAGAACCAAGACAGCAAGACAGTCTCTTTCATTCTCTCTCTCTCTCTCTCTCTCTCTCTCTCTCTCTCTTTCTTTTTCTCTCTCACACAAGCACACAGAGTCTCTCTTGGCATCTCTGTTTCTCTCTGCTCAGTTGTGCTCTTTCCTCACAGCTCAGTTCTCAGGGGAATTCTGATGTTTTCATCAGTTTCCACCCCACCCTCTTGCCTTTGCACCAGGCTGTCTCTTTGGTCATTAGCTCACACATGGATAGAGCTCTTTGGTCTAGTACCTAACTCTATCAGTAGTCACTCTCTCCCACTCTCCCAAATCCAGTTTAACCTTGCTTTCTTGAGCACAGGGCTATAGTCAGGACAAGAGCGAGTGTAAAAGGCAGGCATTACCTGGCATGCACTTAGAAGGTTTTTTTTGTTGTTGTTGTTTTGTTTTTACCTTGAAAAACATTTATTTTTTATTTCTTTTTTTTTTAATTTTAATTAAATCTTTATTGTTCAGATTATTACATTAGTTACTCTTTTTTCTCACCATAGCTCCCCTCCCCCCAGTTCCCACCGCACCCTCCGCCCTCACTCCCCACCCACTGTCCTCATCCATAGGTGCACGATTATTGTCCAATCTCTTCCCTCACCCCCACACCCCTTCCCCCCCCGCCCCAGAATAGTCAGTCCATTCCCTTTCTATGTCCCTGATTCTATTACAATCACCAGTTCATACTGTTCATCAGATTATTTATTCACTTGATTTTTAGATTCACTTGTTGATAGATGTGTATTTGTTGTTCATAATTTGTATCTTTTTCTTCTTCTTCCTCTTCTTAAAGGATACCTTTCAGCATTTCATATAATACTGGTTTGGTGGTGATGAACTCCTTTAGCTTTTTCTTATCTGTGAAGCTCTTTATCTGGCCTTCACTTCTGAATGATAGCTTTGCTGGATAAAGTAGTCTTGGTTGTAGGTTCTTGGTATTCATCACTTTGAATATTTCTTGCCATTCCCTTCTGGCCTGCAAAGTTTCTGTTGAGAAATCAGCTGACAGTCGTATGGGTATTCCCTTGTAGGTAACTGATTTTCTCTCTCTTGCTGCTTTATTTTTTATTTCTAAGTGAAAATGTTTTTGGTCTCTGGATTGTTGGAGGAAGCAAGATGAAGTGAAGTATGAGGTGTAAGAACCACAACATTCATTCCTTATATTCCATGCATTATAGTAGTCAACCCTCAGTTTTATATATGATACATAAATAAGATATTAACCTTCTCTCTGACGTTTGTTCATGGTCATTGAAAACTTGTCCTTCCTTTACCAGATTTGCTGTATGTATTAGATAGGAAGAAAAATAGACCAAGGAGTCACTATTTCTGATGAAACTGCTATTCTCATGTCTTAATAGTAGGTTACATTTTTCTCTATAGATTTTTTTTAAATATATAAAGCACTTGCTCATTCATCTTGTTCCTTGCTATTCTCAAACAAAGTTATAAAGTTGACAAGAAAGATATTATTTCAGTTCTCAACCTAGATTCACTTATTTCAAATGGCTCACCCAAGGTCCCAGGTATATAAAAAGAAGGAGGGGCTACAGAGTCTCCATACCTTCATGTGTCAGGTGGGATGCTAGATGTGGCAGGAGGATGGATGAGTTTCTCTTCCTCTTGTCACAGATTTTGATGGAGGTCTAAATACTAGAACACTCCAGATATTTGGTAAGAGCCATATGTCCTAAAGCAAGATGTTGGGCTACCTAAGCAGGAGCTGTAAAAGATTATAAACTAGGTGAGGCCAGTATGAACGGTTATGTCTTTGAAGACTAGAGCCCAAGAGTTGAAAGAGGATTTATTTAGTTGTGGGTTGTATGTCTCTCCTTCCACAGTTGAGAGGTATTTCAAGGGAACCACTCAGAGAGATTAATAGGTGTGTCCTGTAATTTAGAGGACATAAGTCCAGGTATATGACATATGCCTCAGAATCTAAAGCTGAGAGGCCATGCTTGGTCTGGCAGAGCAGAGGGTGGGAGTGTTTGGGGAGAAGCAGTCCTTGAAGTGGGATGTTGGTCAAGGATATATGAGTGTGTGAATTTACCTATGGACTCATTGGAGAGAATTGGCCAGAGCATACTTGAAAAGGCTGCTTAGAGTAGGAGCAGGGGGTGAAGAGACCGAGCACAACAGACCCATCAGATACTCAAGGCTTGGAAAGAGGAGTTACAATCAACCGGGAGGAGCTTTGCCTGCTTCCAGCAAGCTACAGTTGGAGGCCCTTGTAAGAGAGTCCCTGGAAACAATTACAATTGTGCCGCCTGAGAGGAGTCGATTTTGAATGTCCCATAAGCCCAGGACCACCAGCACAGGTCAAGAGAGTAAGGGCCATTTAACACTGTGCCTCATCTCTTCCCATCAGCCAGACCTGGGAGGGGCCTGGGAGTTGGGGGAAATAGAAGAGAGAAGCCTGGAAGGGAAACAGCAGTGGAACAAGGCCCCACCCACTGCAGGCTTCCAGGCCAAAAGCAGCCCTGAGCTGGGAAGGTGGGAACCTTAAATCTAATCAGTTAGAAGTGATTACTTCACTGGACTGGAACATTTCATAGCTACAGTGAGATCTGTCTTGAGATTGAGGGGCCCCAAAAAGCTATAGGACTTGCTTAAAATTTCCAACAAGCCAAAGGAAAGAGCTAGCTATCCATGTGGGATTTAAGGGGCAGCTTGATTAAAATCAAATTGCTTAATGATCACATTCTATTGATGGAATAGATTCAATTCAATAAGATGGTTACATGAACAGTGCCTCATTTCATCTTTGGAAAAACTCCCCAGGCAGGTACCACACATGGCCCACATTGTGTAGATGAGGACACTGAGGCCACGTGAAGCTTTATCACTTATTCAAAGTCAAACAGCTGACAAGTATATTAAAAATTAAAATTCATTTATTTCCCTACTGGTTCCAAAGTCTAAGATCGTAAATACTTTCCCAAATTCCCTTTTAAAATGCCATGTTGCTCCACTCTTAGTCCTTTTAAACATCTGACAGTACATACTCCTTGCAGAAAATGAGCCTGGTTACTTTTTTGCTCTGGCTTGGGTATTGTATACCCCTTACTGCATATGTTATGGGCTTTGATTTCTTACATCTTAACTACCACCTCTGTCCTGTTTCCCAAATTATGTCTACATATGTGCTGGCCAGCCCTATTCCCATCTGCTTTTCCTCCTGAATGCCTTCGTAGCATTTTTTTTTCAGCATTGTTGCTGAGTGGTTGCTTCTTATGTGTACCAGCATTTCTGTTTAGCTGACTGAAGGTTTCCTTGCTCTTAACTGCTACTACTGGGCCGAATGTGCACATTGGCTTTTTGTAAAGATATTTAAGATGAGACTCTCTTTGTCTATATTATGGCCGAGACTCCAAAAGGTTAAGAACAAAACCACAGTCTCATGTATCCAAGTGAAATATTAGGCCACTGAGGTGAAACCCTCAAAGAAGATGGTGTCCTTAGGCCACCACACATATGCAGAGTATAAGAGATTGAAATTCAGGAAACCAAAAGAGGAGTTGTGAGTAGAGAACAGGTTTGGGAAAAGGTGTACTGTAAGTCTTATCTGGAAACATACCCCTCTGGTTTCAGTTGTGCATAATGGATTTCCTACCCCATACCCTCAGGCTTCAGGAGGCTGTGTGGGACCCTGGGAGATGCAGATTCACAGGGGAGCAGTAATTCAAGCCACTGGAGTTTCTCTGGTTG